TGAATCATAGAGATGTTTTTATTTTAAGTTTTATGTTATTAATACGAGTACTACATAGCCCCCCTTTTTTTTTAAAGAATTTTTCCTAAAGCTACACAAAGGGCTATCTGTTCATGGCCCTTCTTAATTTTAACAAGGGGAAGTAATCTACTTAAAAGGACCTGCCACTTTTGTTTCTGACCGAATAACTGAAGTTGGCAGGTCCCTCTTATAGCACTTCTATGGTCCCAAAGTGCGGAGAGCGTTTTTGCTGCAACTGGGCGCAAACAAGGAATCTTCGGATTCACAGTTTAAGCACACTAACCACTTGGTCAAACCCTACCAAAAATTAATAACCATTTCAGTGTTGTGCAGTACAAGATTAATTTCAGTAATAGCTTTCGGAGATTGTATATAACATTAGGAACGACTACCATATTGTTTTTTTTTTTTTTTGTTACAGAAGAATCATGAAAATATAGAAGGATAAAGATACATTTCATTTTCATATAGATTCCACCGAAATCTAATAAATGAATCAGGATACTGAAAAGAAGCGCCAACCAATATGCGCTTTATAAATGAACCAATATAATCCTGCATTATAAACAAAAGTCTAATACCTGTACAAAACTTTTGAAACAATAATTACAAGATCTTTGTGTCTTTTCTACTAAGAAAGTGAAGATTTTACACCAACTTAAACTAAACTGAACTGTGCCATATGTTTCAACACACACCAACACGCTTAAAGCAGAACAAAGTTCAAGAAATTTATTTACTCACCGTAGTATAAATAAAACAATAAAGAGAACAGTTTAATGTCACAAATAGTATATGTAGAATTACAGCTTGGACTTTCCAAGGTAAATATATATGCGTATGCAAATATCACTAAGTAAAGAAAACCAAGCAAGGAACGAACGGCCTTATGTTTTATTGTTTTTAGCTATATATAAGTATGTTTGCTTTCCTTGTAATATTATGATTACAGTTTTGTCCTAAGTGTTTATAAATATTTTATGTGTATTGTCTTGTTGACGTATTTGATATAAGAAATCAGTTTAGTTCTTTTAATATTTTTTGTGAAAACACTTCGAAGCACATAAGGTTCTTTGTTGCAAAGACACCTTTTTTTGAAGAATCAGCAGAATATTGTTCTTGCTGGAAATGTACCTCGAGCAAAATATATATATGACAGCCAAAATCAGTTCTTTAGTGTTAAGTCTTGATAAATGGAGAGCCCAGTCTCTCTGATCAAGTCTCATAAATCTGCTGGCCAATAGCACTTTTCACGAGCTGTCCTCAAATTTACTTCCTATTGCCCTGCATGGGTGTGACTTGCGGTTACATATTAGATTCAATATTAGTTCAAGCAAACAGCTTTCTTGGTTTTAGTTTTTGACAAAAACTACCAAAATGTGCCTTTTATTATTTTTTGATAAAACTCGTTTTATGTAAATTTAAATTAGTTGGTAACAGTTCATTATTACATGAAAATGAGATTGATGGTAACATTTAATTAAACGTGTGTTTCTGTACACGTTAATTAGTAATTATAGGTCAATACCTTAGTACCCACTCAGTATGATATCAGACACCAGTCATTCTACATAGGACGCTATTGTAATATGCACTTCGTATGTGATGATATCATAGTCATCAACCAGTAAATATAAAATGATATAATATTATTCATTCAGTGTCTTAACCAAGCAATAAATATATGATACATTATTACTGACTATTCAGTATGTATGAAGTTCTTTGAAAATACAGCAGTAAATCGTTGCTAAAACTTAAGGCACCAGCGTAGAATATAGACTGACAGTTTATTTGATATTCTCAAAAATGGACCATAATAAAACTTAATAGGCTGTGCTTCAAGCACTGATCTTGATTGGGCATGAGTTTGTCAGGAAATTATATGGTTGAAAAAACAACAACATATTAATATAGTTAAAGGAAATGCACAAATTTCTTTGTAGGTTTTGTGTTTGGAAACATAGAACCTCATATATTAACCGCAAAATATTTCAAATCATGCTCTAAAACATGAGAATTATTTGACAATTCAAAACCAGTCAAGATTTCATTTGTTTAAGCTGTAACTTACTAGCTAAAGACAAATACAAGTGTTAAATAATATACACTCGTACACTTAAGTAGATAACGTCCTGAAACAATTACTCAAATTTAAAAAAAGCAGAAATATTTTGATCTTAATAATAATTAATATTATGTACTTGTTTGTTTTGGAATTTCGCGCAAAGCTACACGAGG